GTAAAAGTTAACTATAACCGAATAAAAGGAGCCGGCCAAGAGGCCACCTTAACACCAAAAAAAAAAAAAAAACAATAAAAAAATAAAATAGTTTACTTTGTTTTAATTAGAGTTAAAGCAAGTTCAGTTTTGGGTTAGAATGAGGCATAATTTATATTAAAATTTTGTAAGAAATTTTTTTTGTTAGAATACGGAGAGCTGTTTTCTATGCAAAATTTTGAGATATTGGTGATTTTTCAAAAAATTACAGTTTTTTGTATTTTTTATATTACACCTGATCCTGAAATTTGATTGGTTGGCAATAAATAAGAGTATCGCACTATATATATATAGATAAATCCTAATAAAAAAATAATAAAATTTTTAAAAAACTTTGAGCAAAGATATCTCAACAACTACTTAAGCAAATTCAATGAACTTTTTTTGGTTAAATTCTAGAGATTTCTAGAATTAAAAGATAAAAAAATTCATTAAATTTGCTTAGATAGTTGCCAAGATATCTTTGTTCAAAGTTAGTATAAACTCAAAATGCCTATAATAAAGAAGCAATAAAATTTTTAAAAAACTTTGAGTGAAGATATGTCAACAACTACTTAAGAAAATTTGATAAACTTTTTTTTGGTTTAATTTTAGAGATTTCTAAAATTAAAAAAAAAAAAGTTCATTAAATTTGCTTAGATAGTTGTCGAGATATCTTTACTCAAAGTTTTTTAAAAAAATTTTTACTGTTTCTTTATTATAGATATTTTGAGTTTTTACTAACTTTGAGTGAAGATATCTTAGTAACTACCTAAGCAAATTTGATGAACTTTTTTTTTTTATAATTCTAAATATTTCTAGAATTAAAACAAAAAAAAGTTCATTAAATTTGCTTAAGTAGTTGTCAAGATATTCTTGCTCAAAGTTTTTTATTTCTTTATAATAGGCATTTTGAATTTTTACTAACTTTGAGTGAGGATATTTCAACAACTACCTAAGTAAATTTGATGAACTTTTTTTTATTTTAATTCTAGAGATCTCTGGAATTAAAATAAAAAAATTCATTGAATTTTCTTAGATAGTTGCTAAGATATTTTTGTTTAAAGTTTTTAAAAAATTTAATTTTTTTTAAAAAATTAAAATAATATACAAAACAAATGGTATAATTTGATTGGTCAAAAAAATTGATGTACACAATTTTGATGTACAAAAAAATACTGTTTTGGTTTTAGTAAATTTATACAAATTTTATTCTATAAATATACAAGTTACACTGTTATACTTGGTTATACTAAGCTACACTAGCTATACTTGTCATATATATTTAAATATTTGATTATACAAAATTATACAAGGTTATATATAAAGCCACACTAGCCACTTCTTAAATAACCTCTATTATTTAGCACTCAGATAATGTGTACCAGATTAGTACGTTATTGTGACTGATAATAATCAATACCCCGATTCCGATCGTAATGCAAATCGAAATAATAATTTGTAATAAGCTTTTATGATACGTAATTAAATAAAAATAAAATCATAAAAAAAAAAAAAAAAAAAGTATTTGTCATAATGATGCAAAATTACTCAAGTGAAAGAAAAACTTTACCTATTCCGCTTCGACAAATACTTCTATTAGATTATGAATATTAACTTGTAAACTACAACGAATTGACATCAATAATTACTGCAGAAAATATGAAAATCGAGCAGATCGTTGTTGATTTGCTCGCAAATATTAATACAAAGGAAGATGCTTTAATATGGCTTAATGAATTTCAAGAATGTTCAAAAACTACAATGCATTTAACACGCACTTATCCAGTTAAAGGAGATAAAGTTATTTTTAGAGAGTTGTGACATTGTATTCATAGCAATTTAGTCAAACAAAAAAATAATTATCATGAAACAAAAAATCCAAATAGTCTGCGAAACAGAGATACTGGATATAAGGCAACTCTAAACCTTTAAATAAAAAAACCTAAAAAATTTAGTTTTGAGGATATTTACCTATTTGAAATAAACCTTCGGTTTATACATAATTATGTGCCCAATTCTGCAAGTTCGTTGAGTTTTCGACTAGTTGGACTCAATGCTCAAAAACGTTATATTGAGTTATTTAATATGGGTCATTCAGCAGCAACTGCACGATATTTATATGAAGATGAATTATATTTATCTACATCTAATGATGATGAACTAGCTCGATTGCTAGTGGATCGGTCAATAAATCCTGATAGAACTTATGTAAAAAATCTTTATAATTAATTTCGTATTTCACAACTGGGGGATCGAAATGGAAAGGGGATGTTTGATTATATGCAAGAGGCTGTTACTCTTTATAACAATTCTGGTAAAGGAAAAGCTATACTTCAAACTTATAATTTATCTATATCTACTCCATTTATTCTATATATTGTGACTAACTTAATGAAGCGAGTTCATAAAAAAATTCGTCAAGCCGGAGAGCTCTGTTATTTTGATACATCCGCTACTTTTGATCCACTTAACACCTCAATTACTCTTCTTTATACAAGTTGCTCAATTGGCATATTACTATTAAGTGTTTTTTTAACTTCAGATGAAACTGAAACTACTATCGAAAATGCTATAAATTTGCTTAAAATAGTATTACCAGACAATGCATTTTACAATCATGGACCACAAATTGGGCCTATGATTATTATTACAGATGATTCTTATGCAGAACATAATGCTATTGCATGTTTCTGACCAACATGTATATGATTATTATGTATTTTTCACATTTTACAATCAGTTTGGCATTAGTTGTATAATTCAGGACATAAAATTTATAAAGATGATCGTACACAAATTATGACATTATTCAAAAAAGTTTTATATACACCTATAGTTAATAAAATAGAAACTGAATTCTCAAACTTGTGATCTAAATATTTTACAAAATATGATCAGCTTGCAGCATATTGTTTGCGTCTCTGGGAACGTCGAGCTACCTAGGCATTAGCATATCAACAAAACTTATTATTACGTGGAAATCATATCAACAACTATGTCGAAAGAAGTTTTGGACTTCTAAAAGACATTGTTTTTGCACGTATTAAGGCATATAATCCAGTACAAATCTTTCAATT